AAAAAAAAACTCACCATTTCGCATAATTTAGATAAATATGATAAATGACTTGCTTCTCTAGGTAGTTTGGAATCTGGAAGTTGTGATGAGGCTTCTCGCAGGCAAACCGCTCTATTTTCTGAGCTCAAAGGGTGACAAATAAATATGGTAGTATTTTTAGGAAGTATAAAACATGACGTTATGTATTTTTGAAACATACAGACAATATGAGGATTTCAGGCAGTTTCCAGAATCTTCCTACAAAAAGAGTTCAGTTACAGTTGTGGTGCCAAGGTTCAGCGGATAGGAATGCTTCACCTTGCATGCGTTCATAGTTTGCGCTGATATGTTATCATCCTAGAGATTAGGATGAGGTATGTTCCATTGCTTCGATTCTGAGAGGAACAATTTTTTTTTTTGGTGGAGGGGAGACTTACTATTACTATAGTATAGCTACCTCATTAGGCACTATACAGTTCGCCTCGTTCGTCATCTTGCGGTTTTTTCACTTTCTGATACATTAAAACGGTTTTTCAGAAACGTATTGTCCCATCCCCGACACATCAACGCGTTACGAGGTGTTTCACAGTGTTGTGAGTGGTTTTATGAAAGTGCACATAAGGTGAGTCACCATAGAAAACCTCATCAATCTGATTTAACTGGTTCGCGACTCACAGAAGTACAAAAGACTTGGTTGTGTACTGGTTTTCCCATTATGTCATGGACTGGATACATGATCAGGTGTTTTTCCGATTTCGCGATATTAGGACATACCTTTTCTTTTGGTGGAATGTGTAAGAGATAGTCTGTTTACTTACGAAAGCGGTTAAGGAGAGCTTTAATTATCCGATCTCTCCTGCAGTGCAGCCTAAGCCCTCCTTTGGTGGTTTGGACAGAGGAGAGGAGGATCGTATGAATAGTGCCAGTTACTGCACGACGTTGCGCACGTCATGATAAGCATTTGTGATGCGCCATGCTGTTTAGTTCTCCCGGAAGGTAGAAGTCGAGTGACTGGCTCGAGGTGGAGAAGAACTTCTTGTTCATTAAGTAGGACCCCCTCATTTTCCTGTGTGATAACCTCATTTTATCGTGAACATGGTCATTACGGTTTTGAGGAACGACGTGGGATAGTGCCTGATGTTTGACTCTCAAAAATGTTTCCTTTTGGAAATTGCTGAGTGAGTCTTTGGGTTCATATTTTGATCCGAGCTGAGGTGTTTACTAGTGCATACCAGTGCATACCATGTATCCTCTTCATTTTGCAAACATTGCAAACTCTTCAGTTATTGACGTAAATCTCGAATCGTCCCTCTTCAATGTGATAGGTAAACAGAGATCCTTGTTGATGTAGGTTACAGGTAACCACCTATCTCCCCTGTTATCTCACCAACCCATAAATCTTGCTCAAGCCTGACGGGTTGCTTAGCATTTTTCTCCCCCTGCTTATGCGCCATACACTTGTCGCTCGTCCTGTATTAGGAAGCAGTTGACGCAGGTATAAAATAAGGTCACAAGAACAGAGCTGAAGCGCCTACAGTGTCAAGATAGGTTCTTACCTGAGCTCTACTGCTTCAAAATCAACACAACCAGTAATCGTAGGATAGTTTATTCATTGATTAGAACTGATTTTCGAAGTGAAGAAAGGCGATAACACATTAGTTACGAATAACAGATAGTTGAATAAAACATTTCCATGAGTTATTCCGATACAAAATCAATAACTATTCTTTATATTATGACTAAGTGGACATAAAGTTGCTGTAGTCAAATCGGAAAAATGCATATATTACATATATTACACAAACAAAAAACAGCTGCTGAACGTTTTAGTGGGCATTGGCATTTCCAGTAACCAGAGCGATGAGACCGTCTTTATACGAGCCAGAGCAATCGCCTTTGATCATATTCTCCAAAGTCGTCTTGTACATGGCCTAAAAATAGAAAGCACTCTGAGAAAGTCGTTAGCGATTCGAAATGGAAATCGATATATTGATCAGATTGGAAATCGATGTATTGATCAGAGCTTTAGGAATGTAACTGACCTGGAAAGCTGATCGGATGTCAACCATATCATATTCACAGCGAGTGACAACCAATCGAATCAGATCGCTGTCTCTGGTACCGAATCCCTGAAAAAATACATATTTACCCTTACATAAAAGTGGCCACCAGTGCACTGGTAAAAGGCGTCAATAAGACTGTTCTACGGTCTGCGGATCGAATCTTAGCCAAGCTACACAGACCATTAAACAGTCTTTTCCAGAAAGCCAATCATTGCCAGAGTTCCCTAATGGGTTCAGAACATAGGCTCAGATTTCGTGGAGTAACCCAATGGTATGATAAAGAGGAGGACATGGCGCACTCCCAGTCAACTAATCAAGAACCTACCTTCATGCTCTCATAGAGCAGTTTGGCGAAATATGCCGGCCTGTTACGGGCGACGGCAATCACTGCAAGCAGGCCATCCTTGACATCACCGGAGAACTCTGCTTCAATCGCTTTCTCGATGGAATGGTTTGTGACCTGAAGTTATTCGTAGCTAAGCGGGTTGCGATTGAGTATAGCCAGAAAGTTACCGTACCTTCTGATATTCGTCGAAAATCAGTCGAAGTTGGTTGAAGTTATTACTAGCAAGGATCGCATTGAAACAACTCTCATCGGTACCAAGACGACGTTCACCGGCACTGTACAGTTTCCTTGCATCCTTTAAAAATCACAGATTACGGTAATGGGGGACAGTGAAAATAGATGAAGACTACTGAAAGCACTGGACCAACCTGGTTTGCTCTCAATGGATCCGTACGGTTAGACTCATCTCTGCCACCGGCGCACAAGGACACGAGCAGACGCTGAAATGGACTATTCAATTCAAAGTCTGAGCTGGAAACACTCAGAAGGATTTTCTCAGAAGGTTCCTGAGGTAAAACCTCAACTTTGACATGCGGGGAATGGAAGGGGAACGTCTTCTTACCTGGAAGCATCCACTGGTATCACCGATGAGGTCACTTTCCAAAGAGGTGCGGTAAAGTTGCTGATAGACGTTGCGAATTTCAGCGATTTGTGAATTTGTTCGTGACGTCATAATCTCGATCAATACCGATTCTTTCGTTCCGAGACCCTAAAAAATGGGAGGTTCAGCTGTTGTTTATTTATTTATCTGATCAAGATGTAAACAACAGTCCACATGGATTTTTAGGATTGCTTTGGTGCATCGAAGTAGAGAGTCTGAGAAAGGGAGGGACAAGGAATTACGGCTCCACAAACGAACTTCTAGAACTTCACTTAAACTATCAGTTACCAAGTATGTCCGGGATTTCAAAACTGACTTTCAGCCAAAAATGAAAAAAATCCTATAAAACTTTCCCCTTGATCTTCACATTACCGTATACATTGCACACGATCGCCCTGGGTGATCTACAGTCAATGCCGTCGGCCCCTCGCTTTACCGGCGCCGTCTGTGCCCTCCTAACTTTTCATAGTCTCTAGTTATTTTGCCTGTCCTTGGACTTCAATATGGCAATGTATCCTCCAGTGCCCATTGACTCCAGAAACATAAAGCCCTTTTTCAGGCCCCATACCTGTTAAGCAAGAATGAAAGAAAGACAAAGGTAAATTTGCAATCCTGGAACGGAATTGAGAAAATCCCTACTCGAGTAAATAATTGTTTTGGAGAGGGGCATAGAAAGAGGATAAGGCTAAAGAGACATTCCAAGGGATCCAAAGGTAACAGTTTGATGTTAGTAAAAAGTAAAAGAGAAATTGTGGAAGAACGTCTTGAACACTCACCTGCATAGCCTTGTGTAATTGTTTAGCATCATAGACAGCTGTAGGTTCCATGAGAGCTAGGATAAGATCTTCAAAATCGCCACTCAGTTCTGATTTGAGATCCTGAAACGGAAGTATATTATTAGAAAAAGGACGGTCCTGGGGAGAATCCATCATTTAACTGAGTGATTATACTTGTCAACGCTGGCTTAGTTTTCGGAAACGGGCTGGGAGTAAGGCTTTTGAATTTCTCTTCAAGTGTGGTCGGCTATCTTTCAGAACTGATAGTAGTTCAGATGGTTCTATGTTGACAAAATTTTTCATACAAGAACTAAGTTACTCTTCCTGTGAGCACATGTCCATTGCGATATCTGGAATGGTTTACGAATGCATGGCGCACTCTCAGACCCCCTTTAGTTAGGTGATTTTTCTCGGTTACATGGAAAAAATGGTGAGAGACTTCGCATAATTCAATGGCGAACCAGTCATCGCCCGTGTTGAAACCCCTATTATCCCCCCATCATCGGCAAAAAACTGGAATGATGCTCTATGAATTGGCTACTGTTCGGCGGAATCCATGTCACCGGGAACATTTCGGATTTTTTCATCAAAATAATATGCTCAGTTACCAGTTACCACTAGGAAAACCAGTTGACGTAGGCATGGCTTTTCTGCAGCACCTGCCCACTGCGGAAACCGGTGACTTTTTAGGTACTCTGAATAGAGCCTACTATGGGCAAGAGCTTAGAGTAAGGTACCAACGCTTCTGAAACCCACGCAAGTCCATGCTCCACCTATAACGCTTCTTCTACTGAGTTCTTGCGCAGAACACGCGGTCAGAAGCCCGAAGGAATCAACGGGATTTGATGTATTGGAGCAGTACCTGGGATGGGCAGGATAAATAAATGGGTAAAGACTTCAACGTCCTTCTATTGCTGAGTCCTGTTCCAGCTCATGCACGCATAACGAGCCTTCGGTTTTGAAAAGGCTAAGTCAATAGCGGCCGAACCTCGTCAATAAATGTGGAAGCAGTAATGAAAGCCTGAATAGCTCTGACTCTGCTTGACGAAAAACAAACGGTATGACCTGGAGGAACACCAGCAGGTGGAGAACATCTGGCTTCTAACTTAATTCCTAGTTTTCGCATTGCGTTAAGGCTGGATTGAATGAGGAGTGCCCTGTTAGAGGAGCGTTTTTCACTACGAAGGCTGTAGAGGGGCTTCAACGAGCTTAGGCCTCGCGCTGTGGGAATCTTTGCTTTCAAAGTGTATTGAGCTGCCTTAGATGCGCCAATCTTCTACACCATTAAATAAAAAGTGTTTTTTGCTTCTTGCATGAATAATGGGGACCAAAAGATCAGTCAGGAAGGTATCAAATATCACTTCCACCCGGCGAGTAATATGATATGTTGGCGGCCGTTCGACCAAAGGGTTACCTTTTGAACAGGGACCATTCCAATTCCAAACAAAAGCTGAAAGTGAAACTTTGTTCGCATAGACCAGACGCCTCTGAGGATGGGCTACATTGGAAGCGTCCTGTCTCATTTCTTCTGGTGTTAGTACTGCAAAGCCAAGGAATCCTTTGCTTTCAAAGGAAATCGCCAAGGAGATCAATCACGATTTTAATACAACCTGCACTATCAAGCAGTACCGGTGACATTTTGTATTTTCTTATGCAAAACGAGGTCTGCCTTTTCGAGGATCGAACTTGCTGCTTGTGCATCAGTGAGTACGCGGTACTATGCACTGATCCAACCCTGTCTAATTGAGAGGGCTACCCTTTTATCGGAAGACCCTCATTAAAACTGTCCAGAGAAGAGCCTTAATAATTCAAGGCTCATATATCGATAAATAAATAGAAAAACTTGTATTACTGAAATATAGAGGCCACTTACCCTTATAAGATCCTTTCCATACATCACTTTGAATGCCTTGGCAATTTCCTGCCTCTGCCAATTTGTTCGACCACACAGTACACTGATAACCTGTAACAGCTTCAATTATCTCCACTGTCACTATGAACTATAAAAATATTTTCAAAAAATGTCCAGAGTTAAAATTTATTCAAAGAAATTTCCTTTTATTTTTAAATGGCAGACAAACCTTCGAGTTGTTGCAACCGAGGCCTTTCATGGCTTTTCGAAGAGTTTCCGCATCTTGATTGGCGTTGAAATTGGGTACCGGACGAACCGAAGGAGTGCCGAGCATCTCTGAAGCCATCGTATCTAATTGAAAAAGCCAGAGTTCATTAAAATTGAATTCCGCAGCATTTAACAAGATTTATAAAGCGAGATAATAAAGGTAGACAATATTTACGAAAAAAAGTGGGTCTACATGATTTTCAACGGTCATTAATTTTAGAAACCATCTGTAGCCACAAGAGGACGAAAGCTGAGAAAATACACGATAACATTAGCAGTTGTAGATGTTACTATGGAAAAAAGCACCATCTGTAGCGCCCATGAACTGGCCCATTTTGCCCAGGCGATACTCTTCGACAAGGAAAAGCGCCGATTCATGGGCGCTGCAGTTTTCGTTTTTAAACTTTGAAACTACCTCAGAGAATGACCATACTTAGCGAGATTGAAACGATTCTTGGTAAAGATCTAATTTCAAAAGGGGAATAAAATAAATTTGATAAATTATGAAAAAAGAAATGGTCATGCTGTCACCAATGATCACAACAAAGCATTAACGACTGCGAATTTTGATTTTTTTGGAGAACAAGGCAGCAAAATTGGAACGGGATTAAGATCGATAGCTCAGCAGAACTAGACTTTCTTAATGAGATGCATCCCAGGTCATCTCAGGTCGGTTTGACGAACCAGACGTGGACCAAAAGCTTTTATCTGAGAACAAACAGGCCGAACAATAGATAAGAAAATTTAATTGACAAAAAAAGACTCATTTGTATGGAATTCAAAACCCCCACGTAAAAAAAGCTGGCTTTCAACAACTTATATCACTGCATTACCGTAATCCTTTGAAGGGTTTGTGTGAGAAAATCTTGAATTCGCCAACTTTGACTACGGTAATTTCGTTCATAGTTACTGATCAGTTAGGCTTCCAAAATTTTACATGAATCGGTTGTTTCGATCAATATCGATCAATCCGATCCCGATGATGAGCACTGTGCAAAGACCCTCATCCCTCGCCCCCATTATCCGTGACTAGAATGTTTTACGATTTAAAACTGGGAGAAAGCATAAGTTTTCATAACAAAGGGAGAAACCACCCACGCTTACGATCGCTTTGACCTATCGATTGATTCTACCAGAAGCCAACTATGGGACACACCCCTTCAGTAACTCTTACAAATGATAGTTTCCTTAAACTCACGATTTGAATTTTCAAGCAATTTTATCAAAAAGATTAACCTAGCAACCAGTGAGTACAAGCCTCTCCTATAGAGAATCCGCCATGCATTCGACTTAGTTTTAGTTTTCGTTGAGTTGAAAGAGCTTTCAGCCTGGGCAGAGGCTTACAAGGGTCAGTGATTGACGGATTGCTATTCTTCCCGCCAGTTTATCCTTGAAATGAGCTGCAATTAATAGGAAACCATTGTAAACAGCGAAGTGGGGGTCAGAACTGAATCAATGTTGCACATTACAACGCAGCCAGATGGGGCGTGCCCACTTTCCGAACGTCATGAAATGAGAAATGAAATGAAAAAGTAAAAGAATGGATAAGGACTGGTAGGGAGTGGCCGGTGGGTTCCGCTGATGAACGTGACAGCCGAGTGTGACGGATATGACCTCGCACAGGAGGAGGGTAAATAGCGCCAGCATCAGAGAACGAAGGACGAGTGGCGACCATCAATGATCACACCATCGCCGCAATCGACAGACAGATGCGGCAAGTGGAACTCGGTCAATAATGGTATCAGGGACGAAGGGCAGCGTACACACACCCATAAAAACAGGCTTTATTGATTGTTTAAAGGACCGTTGTGGCGAAAACAATCCTGCCAAAAAATCGAGGTCAAACGGCACATCATGGCTGTAGGCAAATTAGGAAAATTTAACAAAATTTCATCTCACAAGGTGCTGAGGTTCAGATCAATCTATAATATCTGTTTTGCCAAGAATCCAAAACAGAACTAGGTGGGCGTGACTCAGTGGCAAAGGTTTAGCATGGCAACCGCCTAGCCGGCTGGATCAAGTCCTACCCAATTCAATCTAACCATGCAGACTTTTGGCGATCCTTTTTTTAGTGTAAAAATGCCTAGGACTTAACGGGCCATTTAGCTCTCAAAAACCGTGGTGCATGCCAGAATCTACTTCTAAAGCCCCAAGATTTTCGACTGGTAGCCCACAGAGGCTCTTCTCAGACCCTTTAAGTATCGCTCAAACAAAGTTACTGGGTAACCTGAGAGATATTCAGCAGAAAGTAGGGGAAGGTGGAGGTCTAGGACGGCACAACAAACCACTGCATGCGAAACGTGTGTACTCATAGAGATGTAGTGATGACTCAACGGGAACACCCACCCGGGAGTACCGCCCAGCCGAAAAGGTTCATTTGATGAGTCATCGGGTGATGACGTAGATTGGCTTCAATTACCACTCGAAAAGCACCTCATGCGTAAGGAAATTACGGTGCGAAGATGAGAAAAGATGATGAAACAACGGCATGACTAATGGCTGTTAGGGCGTGGGCTCCCGAGCGTGAAGACGTGAAGGGCTGTCTAAGTGGGAATGGTGGGACGCTCAAAGAACACCGAAAATTGAACCCGTTCCGCTGAGTGCAATGGCATTGTGAAGGAGGAACACCAATTATCTAGGTGACCTTTTTCATTTCCAGAGGTCTTAAAATACACTAGATTGGAGACATTGTATAGGAAAATTACGTCTTGATTCAAAATTTTCGACTTGGAAAAATCGTATCTCGGCTTGAACAACTTACTATTTATAAATTTACTATGACTCACAACTTATAGCTTATTTTGACTAATTATTTATTACCTCAAATAGCCGGAAAAAGTAAGGTGACTTAGCCTGGCACTACTCCAGACTTCATTGCTTAATCCGATTAGTCGAAGTGCACGGCTTAACACCGATATAATCGTAATCGTGAAGAAAAAAAGAGAAAACTCAACCACCATCCGCAATAACCGGAAATGTGGGGTATTGGGAAGGAGGGGAGGGCAGACTTACTGGACTAGATATTGTTATTGTTTTGTGAATGCTAACAGGGTAGAATAAACGCCCCTTTCCTGCCTCCGCGCTCTCTCCCCACCGCCTTGACTTCCCACTCTTCCCCTCTCCCGATATCCCAATAACTAGGGGAACTCCCCTCCCGCTGATGACTCCAAAATTGCTTTTTGGAGGAGGGCAAGGATCTGGAATGCTGAAACATTGTAACGAGTTTCGAACCCCAC